TTATAATGACATTATGTTATTTTATTGGTATACTTTTTCTATTAACTAAATAATGCTCAAGCATGAAATCATTTTGTATCCACCACTGTTGGTAGATTTCGAATAGAACTTCCATTGAAATTTTTATAATTCAAGTGACATTTTTTCCAACTGTTGAATTATGAGCCGAAAAAAATTCAAACAGAAATTCACACAATAATAAATAATGATAATTGGAATAATGAAATCCACTGAAATTTCACTATAATGTAATTTGATCTCTGTTGGAATAGTCAACGAAATTTTACAATGACAGCTATACAAATAAAATATCATTTAGAAATTTCAATTAATGTCTTACCGTTAGATTTTTCATTGTAATGTACCATTTTTTGTATTCCTATATATAATATAACTTTTATGTAGGAGGTTTTGTTATTAATTAATTTTATAAATAATTTTTCTATTAAAAAAATATTAAACACATGAACTTTTTTATCCATATAATTTTGTAGAAATCGCTCATTATTTTATCACAAAATTACCTATTAATTTATCATTTGGGATACATTTCTTGCACTTACATATTAAATAATTAAAAGAATTATTGTATATATATCATATGGTATTTATATATTATATTAAAAAAATTATAGCAAATAAAACGTTATTTAAATCAAAATAATTAATTTTTTTTAAGAAAAAAAATTTCTAACCTACATGGATAAAAGTATAAATAACTATTTTCTATCATCTTAAATTGATATACATAACTAATAAGCGCAAAAAATTAACATGCAGCGAACAATTTGGCTCATTTACATCGATGAGTACAAATTTTAAAAGTTCTATAATTACTATTACTAATTATAATATTTTTATTTATTACTTTTTTTTCATAGTTATTAGTAAGTGTTACAACTTTATTATAAATTTAATATTATTTATCAGATTTAATATTTTTTTACTTTATATTGTTCTTACTTATGTTTTTAATATGTGTGTGTGTGTGTGTGTTTGTAACTTTTAAGTTTGTTAAAAAATACATAAAATTAAGTTTAGCACTATTTGGGTCATATGTCTTATTTATATCAATTAATTTATATCTTTTTATTATATGTATATAATTATAATCTTCTCATTTATACTCAAATATATAAATGTTTTATTTCGTACATTTTTTTTAAACTTTTTTATTATAATAACACATATTAATAGATATATGAGTATATAATATATGAATATAATTTTTTTGATAACAAAATATTTAATTTTCAACATGTAGGCATATCATAATTTCTCGATATATTTTTAATTAATTTATAGATAATTATATGGTCAAAATTACACGTTGCTAAAGTGGCTTCTCATTAGACGTGAAAACAAATAGATTAAATTTTAGTATTCTACAATTTCATAAAATTGTTTTGATCTTATGTAGCAAAGAAGTTGAATAGATTAGAAGTTTAGGTTGCAGAACAATCATTCAACAATTAATCTCGCATACTATCACTCATTTTTTATAGGTTATTTTGAAAATAATATTTCTATACTTTGTGGTCGTTATGAGAAAAAACAATATCGATTTCTAGTTTTATAAGTGTTTATATTGCTTTTTTTTGTTGGATCAGTTTTAATTTCTTTAAAGAACTTTTATATATTAGAGTTATGAAATGTAATTACAATTTTGCCATTAAAATTATATTAAAAATAATGACATTTTTCAAAACAACAATTCCATATCCTAAACAATTTTAGAGATATGTGGAAGAAAACAAATTTATTTTAGGAGTGTGGAATAATTTGTTCATGTATTTGCATTTAATTAATTAATTAATTATTAATTAATAATATAAGATATGATGGACATTAGTATATTATTAATTTGCCATTAGAAACATGTCAAAGTAAGTGTTTTTTAGGTAGTTTATTTGTAGATAAAAATTTAAATATGATGTGTATTAGTGTATTACTAATTTGCCATTAAATTTATGTCAAAGTAAGGGTTTTTTAGGTAGTTAATATTTTTACAAAACACTCATCTTTTTATAGTAGTATAGATTATTAAAATAAACATATCTAAAAAGTTTTAAATTTTATCCCACATTGACCTATGATGTTCAATATTTTTCATCTATTAAATTTATTTGAGTAGGTGTCTCTCATCTATTTAGCTTAGATAGTTTAAATCTTATGAATCAAAACTCTTCCATCAAATTTATAAAAATTAATTGATATTTTAATAACTCATACGCAGTCAAAATTCTTCGCTTAATCTTTTTTTTTCTTCTTTTGCGATGAAAATCTGCAGATGACTTTCTGGAAAGCAACCGTGCTTTCTTCACAGAACAAGGCCAGACAACAACTTTGGACTGTTGACAACGGGGAAGTTGAGTACGACGACCGACGACATGGACGAGGGTCAAGACACAATCTACAGACGATAACTCGTGCAACGGTGGAGAATTATTCAAGCAGCAATCAGTAGTGATGATGACGGTAAGAACATTGGTTTGGCATCATCCGACAAACCTAAGTGTTTTCTAGAAGATTTCTTGTTAAGCAAGCAAAATAAATTAAAAAAAACGTTTTTCTATTTATTTACTTTTGATTTAATTAAATTCCTAATGTTTATTATTAATAATATATGGTATATATTCATTGTAGTATGTATTATGGAATCCTAATCCTTTAGGAGAAGGATTACATAATATATATCTTATATATTTACTTACCATATATGCCACATGCCATAATTAGTTCTCTTTTTCTTCTAGGACAAGGAATAGATGGCAAGGACTATGGAAGGATGAGCTATCCATACAAGAAGGGTTCTGGACGTTTATGAGAAGATCTAAGGAGGATTTGGAAAGATTTACTACAAGATCTTTGAAGATTTGGAAGATCGGCTATTTTTGGAAAGTTATGTTCTTACCCGATTCTGGAAACGCAAGATTCCATTTGAAGCTCAATTCTGAAGATCTCCAAATCACATGCACGATTTATACATCAAGGAAACTTACCTTACATGAAGGATTTCGTCCAAATCAGAAAGCAATCAATTGAGAAGGAAATTGACTCCTAAAAGAAAAAGAAGAACTTGGAGAAGACTCCACCCTAAGGAGTTGTATATATACCATGCTTGAAGATCGAAGATAAGCTGCTGAAATAATTATCTTTCATTCAATTTTCGATCTTCAAGCTTTTTAGTTTCATTTTCGCTGTTCAGTTTTCGGTGTTCTTACGTCATCAAAGAACTAAACACGTTTGTTTTGTTTTCTTTGTTTTTCATTCAAACACTTTTGTGATCAGTACTTAGGGATTAAGTACAGTTGTTAGCTCGAGGGATTCGAGAGTTAGAAGTCCACGGGACGTGGCCGGAGAAGTAATTGATAGGATCGTGTGTCGTTGTGGCTAGACTAGAAGGGAGTTCGAGTCGTGTAAGTCTAAACTATACAAGTGTGAACGGTTTGTCAATGAAAGAGCTCTGATGGGAAGTGGGACGCTTCCCTGAAGAGTTTTTACATCTTCGGTTTATTGCTTCCGCTATTTACGTTGTTTATCCACGTTCTTACATTGTTTTGCGCACTCAAGTTAAAAATATATGTTTCAATTGGCACCAGAGCAGTGTTCCTGTTCTAATAACAGGATAAAGATCTTTGGGTCTTTGGGTTAGTCACCATGAACCACGACATGTCTGTTTCGCGCCCTCCGTACCTCGATGGTTCGAACTATGGGTACTGGTAATCCATGATGGTAATTTTTCTTCGGTCTCTTGGAAAAGGAACTTGGCAGGTCATCGAATCAGGTTGGTCAACACCTTTGATGGGGAAATCACCCTCGGAAAAGAAGGAAGAATCCTCGTCCTCTGATGTTGGTCCTCGTGTTCTTGTTGAAAAACCGAGAGATTTGTGAACTGATGCGGAAAGACTAGTAGAAGAGGCCAATTTTTGTGCTCTTTACGCATTAATGGCGGCGGTGGACCCAACTCGTCATTGTGAACTGATGCGGAAAGACTAGTAGAAGAGGCCAATTTTTGTGCTCTTTACGCATTAATGGCGGCGGTGGACCCAACTCGTCACAAAATGATCATTCAGTGCACCACAGCTCATGATGCATGGAAATTATAGAGAGGCAATTTGAAGGTACCAACGCAGTGAAGTCATCCAAGCTACAAAGGATCAGTACGGAACTCGATGCAATCAAGATGAGAGAAGACGAGACTATAGATATGTACTATGCTCGTTTCTGTGATCTCGTAAACCAAAGCACCATGCTTGGTGAAGAGGTCTCGGAGTCAAGACAAGTACAAAACCTAATGAGAACCCTACCAAAAAGTTTCGTGAAAAAATCACGGCTTTGGAAAGTTTTATGAGTATTCAGCCATTGGGAATTGATGATCTTCTGGGAGAGTTGTGTACTTTTGAAATTAACAATGGTTTTGACAATGTGTGGAGCAAAGGCTTAGCCCTAAAAGCCAATGTTCCAACACAGGCTGAAGACGAAGAGGATTATGATGATGAGTCTCTTCATGCTGAAAGTATTGCTAAGGCTTTGGATGTTCTTACACGCCACTTTTCTCAGTTAAAGAACAAAAAAGGATTCCAAGGCAAGAAGTCTGCCGATTTCAGTAAGAACACCAATCAGCAGTCTGGTAAACGACTTTCCAACACACATTCTCAGAAGACTCAGAATCAGGACGTAGAGAAGAACCAGTGCCGTGAATGAAAGGGATTTGGACACTTTCAGAAAGACTGTCCGAATTTCACGAGGAAGAACAAAATCTATCGAGCCACGTGGGATGATGATGAAGACGACGAAGACCAACAACACACGAACAACTTTGTCGTCACTTCTCCCAACAAATTCACGTGTTATACAGTCAAAAGCCTTGTGATGAAGATTCATGTTTGTGTTCTTACACGTATAATTCTCATAGTGATTCTGATGATTTTGGAGATGGTTCTTTTCAAGTAGACATGGAAACCCATAAGCTTGCATTAGAGACGAGCATCAAAGCTGGAAAAATGGTGAAAAAGCTACAAGCTCAAATCGAGGTGTTCCAACATCGTTCTGCAGAGCATGAGAAGGAGATCGCCTACTTGAAGGATGAACTTCAGAAAACTCGCGTGATGAATGGAGAATTTAATGATAAGCTGGCCAGATCTGATGTTCGTACCAGAAAAGAGGAACATAAGCTGGATGAATTTGTTGCCAAAATCACGATGTTCAAATACGAGAAGAAGTTGTCCAAGCAGGTATGTGATGAAAACGATTTTGTCATTGAGTCTCTACGTAATGAAATGTTTGCCTTGCAGAAAACTATAGGTGAAAGGGATTCTGAGATTGCGGCCCTCAAACAAGAACTCGGTCGTGTGATGGAAGAACATGTGACTCTTTGAAGCCATTGTTCAACCTTGGAACAAAAGCTCAACAAGAGTGAGGAGATTGTCAAAATGATCAATAAGCCAAAGTCCTCATTTACTGAAGTTCAAAGGTTGAGTCATCAGATTGCGTGTTCAGACCAGAGTAATAACTCCTCCAATCAGAAATTGAAAGGTAAAGTGGGTGAACCAAGCACGTCTCTGAGTAAGTCCTCTCTAACTTTTGTGAAAGAAGGTTCCAACACTGATGGTAAGGTTGATCAGGTTTATGTGAAAGAACACCGTAAACGTTTTGTGAAAAATTTCATTCCTACTTGTTATTATTGTGGTGTTCTTGGTCATATTCGTCCTAGATGCTATAGGATGCTTAATGATTTGCATGCAGGAAGAATAAATGACTGGAGAAGATTGATGTAAAGAACCATAAGCAACAAAATATTTGGGTTCCCAAAAAGAATCATACTTGTCTTTCATCTCTGTTTGCTTCAAAATCTGCTTCTAATTGTGATTGGTATTTTGATAGTGGATGTTCTAGGCACATGACGGGTGCTAAATCGAATTTGACTGATGTTGTACCTGTGTTTAATGGTTCTGGTTCTATTACTTTTGGTAATGATGCTTGTAATAAAGTTGTGGGAATTGGATGTTTGAACATACCTGGTCTTCCTAAACTTGATAATGTTTTGTTGGTTGAGAACTTAAATGTCAATTTTCTGGCTTTTCTATAAGTTTCACTTTGAATGAATGCTTGGTTTCTGATAGGATTAATGATCGTGTTCTTACAGGGTCTAGATCGCATGATAATTGCTATTTGATTGATTATATGACTTTTGACTCATGTGATACGAGTTCTGGTATTGTTAGAGATTGTGATGCTGATAGGGTTGTGAATGACGTTGATCAATGGAGTACGTCTGACGGATGTTCTTACAGCTAGGGCTGAGCATGGAACTCAGAGAATTCCAAACCGTTTCGAAAACCGAACCGAAATCACTCTGAACTGAAAAATAACTGTTGAACGTTTGACTTTCTCCGAACTGAACCGAATCGGAAAAATAATTGGTACGGTTCTGGAGATTTCACAAATATCCATACCGAGAACCGAACCGAACCGTACCGTACTGTACCGAACCGAAGAACCGAAATTAAAACATTAAATGTGTTACTAATATATTTTATGTCAACTTTGATTCTATATAATATAGTAATAAATATTAACATTAACTTAAATTTCATTCTTAGCAATACTTGATGTACAATTGAATTTTTTCTATTATAAAATAATTATTCAAAATAATATGAAAGTTTAAAAAATATTTTTATAAGAAAAAAATATTATATTTGGATTTTAAATTTTCTATATTAGTTGCACTAATTTTAGTTATAACTAAAATTTAGAGTTACTTATAAAGTTGATTTCAAAATAAAATCTTTAATGTGAGGAAGTAGTGATGAATGTTAGTTTTATTAAAGCATAAAAAAATTAAATAACTAAAATTTAAGTTACTTCTAGAATTGATTTCAAAATAAAATCTTCAATATGGTGAATTATTGATGAATGTTGTTTTTTTAAAGCTTATAAAAATTGAAATATAACTAGGTAGTCATTCAA